AGGTCTGATCTTGTCTGGGCCAGGTGCTTTTTGTTTCTTTACCGACGAGATGGCATGTTGGATTTCGGAAGGGAGAACATTGGGAACGACATATCCATCATGTGGTATGTGGTATGTGGGCAAGTGGATGTGGCTATTAAAGAGATCTGAGTAGAAGTCATGAATAATCTTCTCCATTGTCCTTCTGGAAGATGTGATAGATCCATCATGATGTCGGAGGGCAGTCATCTTGGTTTTGTAGTTGGTGAAGGACAGGCGGGCATTACGAATGTTTTTCCCAGCTTCTGCTGCATCTACCAGTACTGCTGCTCTCCTGTTTTTGAGGTCATCCTTGATGGCTTTTCTGCACTGTTTTGCCAGTTCGGACGTTTGCTTGTGGTTGCCTGAGGCACGTGCCAAGCCACGTTGGCGAATAAGTTCAAGAGTGTTCGAAGAAAGACGGTTTTTTGTGGTTATCTCTCTCTTGGTATTCCTTGCACAATCATGGAGGTGCTGAATCATTCGATCGTATTCCTCATCAATGTTGTCAATGACGGCATCTTCCCATGTTGCCGCAACAGAGCCAAAGAGTTCCCAGTTGGTGGTTGTTCTGGGAGTCCTCTTCTTAAACCTTGCATTCTTTTCTCCTCGATCTGTGAGGTAGAATTTTGCACGAAGAAGACGGTGGTCTGATCCCGTTTGGAATTTTGGGACAACAGCAACATCGGTTAGGCAAAACCTCCGATTGAATATGATGTGGTCTATTTCATTGTGGAACCATCCATCGGGAGACTCCCATGTCCAACGTTTAGATTCAGCCTTTTGGAATTGTGAGTTACCATGGAAGGTTTTGGTTGACATGATGAACTCAGACAGTCTGTCACCCTGTTCGTTCCATTCCAGGCCATGGGTTCCGATGTGGAGTTCATCGACTGATCTTCTTGGTCCTATCTTGGCATTAAAATCACCGACAATGATCTTGTAGAAGGTGTGATCTTCTTTATAGAATTTCTCCAGCTCCATGTAGAATTTCTCAGTTTCTTTTTCACCATAACTGGATGTTGGTGCATAGACAACAAAGATAGAAACTGCCGGTAGTGAGCCACATTTATTCAAGTGTAAACGTCCGATTCGGGTTGTTAGGCACTCAAATGAATCAATGCTTGTGACTAAGTTTGTGTTGACAAGGATACCGACACCACCAACGCCTCTTTTATCACATGTTCCAAGGAACAGTTCTTCTCCAGTGTCGAAAACAGCATGATGGGATTGATGTCTTCTTGTTTCGGTCAGACCAATGATGTCGTACTTGATCTTTTGTGCTTGTACCATAAGGTCTTCAATGGATGCAGCAGATGCCAGCGTACGAGCATTAAAAGTACAGACAATCATTTTTGTTTTTCTGCGTTTTGGCAGCCTATGTCTGCCTTGGTGTTTTATCAGCTTCTCCTTCCATATCCTTATATATATATTTGTGGGGGCCAAATGCGGTGCTGAAATTTGAACCAGGGTTGCAGCCACAGCTGCATGCTAAACAAATGCATGCATTTATACTATCTCTCCAGCACTAATATTCGTTTCTTGAAGACAACAACCTCCATGGCAGAAAGCTCCATCTTCAGGATTTGTGTCTTAGCTAGCTGGTTTATTTATGGAATCTGAGGCAGGGAACCCAAGACAACAGGCAGTACTGACTAATGTGGCAGCTCTGATGGCTAGATCTGTAAATGACAACTATTCTGGCCATGGGAGATGGTTAGTTGGTATTGTCAAAAGCTGCTTCAGGCAACAGTTGGGGGACCAGAAAAGAAGGCTTGGAGCAGCATTTAATGGGTTACAGGAGTGTGTGTGTGTGTGTGTGTGTGTGTGTGTCTGTGAGTCTGTGAGTCTGTGTGTAATCAGGCCCTCAGGCTAGGGAGATAATTCAAGGGACTGAGTGAATGTATAGCCTGTGGGAACCCCAGTTTTCATCCCTGGCATCACATGGTCTCTGAGAACCTCCAGGAATACCTTCTGAGCACAGAATAATCCCTGGGCACCACCAGGAATAGTCTGAAAATTAGCTAAACCAACCAACCAACCAGCACCCCAAGTTTTCATGCACGGCAGTTTGTGTTCTACCACTGTGCTATATCCCTGTCCTTGTGTGTTCAACATAACGTGTCACCTGGACTCCGCTCTGGTGTGGGAAGACATACTTTTCCATATGTTAATTCAGTTTCCAGTCTGTGGTAATTTTGTGGTCGTTGATTTTTTTTGTAGTCATTGATTTTTATCTATTGTCTCTCTCATCTTTCATTCCTCTAGCCATTTTTTTCTACTAAATTTGGATTTTTTTGTATTTACTTTTCTTGTTTCCTAAGTTATTATATAGCAAGGCTATTGACTTATCTTTCTCTCCATCCTTCTTTCTCTTCTTCTTCTTCTTCTTCTTCTTCTTCTTCTTCTTCTTCCTCTTCTTCCTCTTCTTCCTCTTCTTCCTCTTCTTCCTCTTCTTCCTCTTCTTCCTCTTCTTCTTCTTCTTCTTCTTCTTCTTCTCCTTCTTCTTCTTCTCCTCCTCCTCCTCCTCCTCCTCCTCCTCCTCCTCCTTCTCCTCCTCCTCCTCCTCCTCCTTCTTGTCTTCTCTCTCTGTTTATATGCGTGTGTGTGAGTGTGTGTGTGTGTGTATGTGTGTTTGACCACACTTGACAATGCTCAGGAATTGAACCTGAGTCAGTTTCGTGCAAGGTAAATGCCTATACTCCTATACTCTCTGTGCCTTAGTTCATGAGTTTAATTCCTTTGGTTTTTAATGCATAAATGTAAATGCTGGGCTATATGGTGGTCCTATGTGTTTTCATAGGGTTTCAACAATTAAAATTCCACTAATAGTGATAAGGATTTCATTTTGTTCACATGATCACCAACACTTACTATCTTTGCTTTGCCTGTTTAAAATTTAGTTTGTAGGCTAGAGTGCTAGTACATCAGGTAGGGTGCTGGCCTCATATGCAACTGACCTGACTTTGATCCCTGGCAGCCTGTATGGTCCTCTGAGCTCCACCAGGAATAATTTCTGAGCACAGAGGAGGAGTTATCCCTGAACATTGCCAGGTGTGGTCCAAAAACAACAGCAACAAAGACAACAAAAAATGGGATTGCTTTTTTGCAATTGAACTGTAAGAATCCCTTATGTAATTTGCATATACCCTTTATCTGATAGTTTGTAAATGTTTTCTCCCAATTTATAGGTGGACTTTTCACTTTGTTGTTGCTTTCTGTGCTGTACAGAAGCTGGAAATCATGGAGACATTCTTGCTCAGGCTCATGAGAGGATTTAGCACTCAGAAAACATATCAATTATCTTATAATGTACTAAATAAGTCTTTTAAAAATCCAGGACAAAAAAGTAAGACTCTATAACAAAGTTCACACATGTTTCTAAAAATGTAAAGGTGACGTGACAACAGACACCATACAGTTTTTAAAAAGCAGAATGGAAGAAATTACAAATGAAAGTTGTAATAAAGTTGACCAAAAAATCCTCATGTGAGTCAATAAGAAAAAGACAGGGTAGGAGTGATAGTACAGCTGGTAGGGCATTTGTCTTGCATGTGGCCCACCTGGGTCTGATCCCTGGCACCCCACATGTCTCACCCTGAGTGAAGAGCCAAGAGTAGGCCCTGAGAACTGCCAGATGGGTTGCCCCCATACCCTCTTCAACAAAAAGGACAACAAACTCCATAGGGATAAAAAGATGATATACAGATCACAGAGGAAAAGAAAAAACACAATGACCAGTAAGTACCTTGTATAGAACAAATTAGATGTCAAATACTAGAAAAGTGATAAATAAGTGATATCATATAACATATTAGAGAATGGTAAAGCCGCAGTTAGTAATCAGATGTATCTTTATTAGGTGATAAGGCAAGAACAGTATGAAGTGACATATCTATAAGAATACATACCTATAAGAATATGTACATTTGAGAAAGTCTGAAAGAATACACATCAAACTTCTGTTTTTAGGAAAAACAGCAAGATCAATCAGGAGAGAAAGCTATGAGTTATGTGAAGTGAGACTTACTTTTTTACTCCACATACTTTTAAATTTAATTAGTTTATAAAAAATTGGGGGGTTTTTGGCCACATCAGGCAGTTACTCAGAGCATACAGTTGGCTCTGTGCTCAGGGATTATTCCTGGTGACGTTCAGGAGAACATATGTAGTGCTGGGGATTGAACCAACTGAGCCGCATGCAAGGCACTATCCGTTGGACTATCTCTCTGGCTTTGTATATTTATCTTTTTGTTCTGGGTCACAACCTGCAGTGCTCAGGAGTTACTTCCTGTATTTTTGTTAATTTGGGGCTACACCCAGTTATGCTCAGGGGTAACTCATGGTTCTATACTCAAGGGTGCTTGGGGGACCATAGATGATGCTGGGGATTGAACCTGATTCATCCACCTGTGAGGGAAGTGCCTTACCCACTGTATTATTTCTCTGGCCCCAATCACCATGCTTTGTGCTCCAGGGTTGCTCTCAGTGCTAAAGAAGCCATATGGTGCCAGATATTGAATCCAGACTTGCATGTTCAGCTTGTGCTCCACACTGTTGAGCTGTCTCTCTGGCCCTCTACATGCTTTTTAAAAATTCTTTGATAGTAAGCATATATTTACCTATTACTTATATAAAATGAAAACTACTATTAATTTGGATTTTGGGCCAATCCAGTGGTTCTCAGGGTTTACTCCTGACTCTGCACTTAGAGATCACTTCTGGCATGATAAGGAGACCATATGGGGTGCCAGGGATCATACTCAGGTCAGTTGTGTGCCAGGCAAATGCCTTATTCATGTACTATTTCTTTGGCCCCATGAAAACTATTTTTAAAAAAAGAAAAAAGGTCAGGAATGTAACTCAGAGGTATTATACATGTCTTGCATGTCCAATGCTTAATATATATGGTAATATATACATATATACACTATACACATATGTGTATATATATATGTTTATATATGCCCCAAAAGAAAATATATGGCCTAGGAAAAATTCTCGGTAGGAGTAATAGTAGCCAGGATCCTCTCAGACAGAACTTTTAAGATCTGGAAACTCTCTTAACCTTTTCCAGAATAGATTTAGGTGAGCTTGGATCTTATCTGAGATAGTGTTTGCTCCATTGAGATTTCGCCCATCTCCTTATCCCCCCATACCTTGATTCTTCTCATTCGATGTAACTTCACTTTGAAGCAACAACAAAAAGATTCAATCATTAGCGTATCTTGGCCTCTAAGAGTTGGGAAGCTTCTGCAGGTACAAGTGGATCCCATTTTGAGGTTTGAGGATGATCTGGGGCAAGACGACAAGCGGTCTGGTGGGGTCTGGAGTCAATCTGAAGCGGAGCAGAATCAAGGCAAGAGCCACCTTCAGTGTCACCATGGCAAAGTGCTGCCCGATGCAGCTCCTGCAGATGTGGGGTGGGGGAGGGGAGAGAGGCTTGAGAACTGGGGTGACTTCCCCTTCTTGAGATCATAGAGTAACACAGCGGATGGTAGAGGAGTATTTTCTTTTCTTTCTTTCTTTTTTGGTCACACTCAGCAGTGCTCAGGGCTTACTCCTGGCTTTGTGCTCAGGAACCACTCCTAATGGGCTCAGGGGACAATATATGGAATGCTGGGAATTGAATCCAGGTTGTCTGAATGTAGGGTAAATGCTCTCTCTGCTATACCATTGCTCTGGCCCCTAAAGCAGCATTTTTACACTAAATGCCATAAAACTGTTGAACTATAGAGTTATTTCGTGTCTGTAGAGTGTAATTGTGTCCTTCAAGATATGAGCAGGAGGCCCAAGTTCTCATCCTCCCCAAATAAGGGGCAGTTGTAGTTTCTTTTAGAATTGCATTGCCTAATGAACCTAATGTAAAACATGCTGGCAACACTGCCGTGGAGCATGCATAAGTGTTATGAAAATAGAATTTAAAATTTCTCATGCAAAAAAAAGATAGAAAGGTAAACACCGGTATTAATTAATTATATGGGGAATCATTTGATAGTGCGTGTGCATCACTGTATCTCAAATCACCACAATTTTTCATTAAGTATATTACAATTCTACAGGTCAATACCTCACTAAAGTTGAAATTTAGGAGAAAAAAACTGTCTTTCCTGTGTTGGGTGGGCTGCATTGAACCTCTGATCCTCAGTTTCCATGGGGGAGTGGCTCTGAGATCAGGGTACATTAGGAGTGATTAGTTTTGGTGAGACTAATGGGACCTTCCAGTGCTTAAAGAGGCACCAAGACCTAAGCTTGGGTTGTTTGGAAAGAATACAGGAAGCGCAGCTGCCGGTTTCCCCGGGCAACGGCGGAGGCGGCAGGGAGGGGACCTGAGAGCCTCCGGCAGCGCCAGACCTGGAGGCCAGGGTTTGGAACCGAGGCCAGGACAGCCATCGCCACCAAGAACTGACGTGACCAGGCCCCGCCGCAGGTGCACTTGCCGTAGTGCAGACCCCACTTTCACCGGTGCGCGTGTGCTCGCCCTCATTCATTATTTTATTTTTTTTGGAGGAGAAGCACACCTGGCGATGCTCAAGAGTCAGTACAGAGCCAGGATTAAGTCCTGAGCACCGTTGGGTGTGGCCCCCAAATAATAAAAAAATTATTTTAGATACTGTGATTTCATGCATAACACCTTCAAGTACCACCCTCTGCCAAGTGACCATTTCCCCCCCCCCCCCAAAAAAAAAGAGCAGTTCTCGGTTAAAAAAAAGTAAGACAGGGTATCCAGGGAGAATCTATAGAACAAAGGGGCTAGTGGGAACATCTGTTTGGTACATCAACAGTTTCAATTTGTCCTCACCTTGGTCCCCCTGAGAAAGGTAAGAAGGAGTGGGAATGTCTCTGATCAGAATTCTCCGGAGAGAACCTCAAGGGGTTAAAGACCTGAAATGAGAGAAACCCCATGCCCCAAAGACCATTAACACATTTCTGAAGTTTCTGCTTAGGAACTTGACCCACAGAAATCTACTGTGAGCCCCATAAGTACTTTCAAGTGTTCTGATAGCAACAATTTGAAGAGGTAAAATTAATTTTAATAGAATTTATTTAATAAAAAACTATTACCAGTTCTAATGTATTCAATACAAACACTTATTAGAGAAACTTGTTTTTAATGCTAGGTCTTCGAAATCCAATATGTATTTTGCATTTCCAGCATATCTTCACTCAGACAAGCCACATTTCAAGTGTTCAATAGCCACATGTGGGAAATAACTAGCACAGTGGCCTGAGCCACTCCCCATAGGCAGATCCTGTCTTGCATCTAATTGATGAATCTATCCCCAGAATAAGTAAGGAAAAAGTGTGTGTGTGTGGGTGTGTGTGTGTCTGCGCACACACACACATACACAGAGAAACACCATAATAGCAGTAACATTTTCGGTTCGGAGGTAAGAATACACACAGACAGGCTGCCCAACCTCCTGTTACATGTCACAGATTTTAAACCCTAGCAGCTTATATAAAGGGAAATATTCAGATAGCTTTTGCATGCCTAGAGTTTCAAGAAAATTGACTCAGGAGTTCACACATCTTCTTTGCCTCTCAGATCCTCTGTCCCTTCCCTGCCTTGCTCCAGGGGCAGAGAATCTGACTTCCATAGCTTCCTATTGGGTTTGGCCAATAAACGGCATGGACAGCAGATCTAGAGAGAGGGAGAGGGCACTTGCGGAATTTATTTCCTGAGCCCCCTCATCCCAGGCTGTGCCATGTTGGTTGCATGGTCCACTGAGGACCACAGTCCTCTTGGATGACCTTTCCAGCAGTAATCTCCCTGTTTTGTGAGTATTTCCCCATGTCCCATCAGTCCTAGCAATGGGTAAACACCAGAAATTATCTGCACTATTTTGCTTTATCCTAAACCCTACCTAGACCTCTATATGTAGTTCCCTTAAGAAGCCTCCATCTCGTCAAAATCTTTGTCAAAATCATCCGTATGTTTACATTTTTCTATTACCTTCCTTAGATGTCTTTGAAAAAGATCTCTTCTTCCTCTTCCTTTCAGTGTTGTTGTTGCATTCCCACATACCTGCTGATGGGGCTTGCACAGTTTTAGCTCGCTGTGGGTGGCACATTAGGGTGCTATGCTTTGCACCTGGCCATGATGCTCCTTGAGTTTGCACTCCTTGGGCTGCAGAGCCTGCAACATGCTTGCTGGGGTGTACCCTCAGTTGAGGTATAAAAGCTACATGGTGCTCACTGGGGGTTGCTGGGGTGCTCACAGACATGCTTACCACAGGTTGCCTGGAGCTAGCTCTCATACAACTTTTTCCCCCCTTTAATTGCAGTAATTCACTGGGGGTTGTATCTCTCTCTCTCTCTCTCTCTCTCTCTCTCTCTCTCTCTCTCTCTCTCTCTCTCTCTCTCTGTGCTCACACATACCTGATTGCGTGCAGCCAGAATTGCTTGTAGCACTGAGATTAGGGCTGCCAGGCTCAAACAGCAAAGCTAGGATTGTGCATGACATATGTGAGACATAAATATAAATTTGTGACCATATACTTGCAAAGCAGATGTTCTAGGCCACTGCACTATTTCTCTTGGTCTCTTGCCAGAATGGATTGTTATATCTGGCAAAAGAGAGGTTAAGTTGCTTGAATGCCTACACTGACAGGCCATTACTGCCTCTACCTAAGTAAATTCTAGATAAAACTTGCAAGATAAATGACTGAAGTACAGATGGTGAAAATTTAGAACAGACTGTGTGGCATTGTGCTACTTTGGTCAATCAAGGCAAAGATGAAGTAGAAGTAAAGGGAAGAGAAAATTTTTGCTTAGTGAACGGTTTCACACTTTTGGTCACAGGATTTAGTTTTGTTGGCTTTGTGAAATTTACCGAGCTGTTTAGACTTTTCCACACAGATGTAGCAAAGAGAATTCCACAGCACCAATTCTCTGGTGGACTTACATCGAAGACAGTCATACCTTTGGATCCTCCCAGATGGAAGGATTGTGGTGAAGACCCCAAATGCTGAGAACCACAGTTATCCCTGAGAAAGGAAGAAAATGAGACTGGATGAGAAAAAGGCAAATTTTGAGCTACTTCTACATGGCCCTTGAGTAAGCATTTTCTTCTTTTTCATTTAAAAAAATTTTCAATTTTTTAAATTAGGCACTGTGATTTAAAAAAGCTGTCCTTAATAGAGTTACAGTTATGTAAGTGCAATCCTACCACCAGCATCAGCATCCCTTTTCCACTGAACCCAGGTTCCCTCCCACCCCTTTGCCTATTTTTTAATAGGCACAATTTAATTATTCTAATTTGGGTCTCATGGTTACAGTACTGTTCGCTCTGGTGGGTTTTTTTTTGGTATTTAAAATTTGTTTTTAAATTTGGGGTCATACTATACTTGGTGGTGTTTGGGGCAACTCATGGTACATTGCTTAGAGAACCATGTGGTTCTGGGAATCAAACTCAAGTTGCTGGCATGCAAAGCATGTACACTAGCCCTCTGCTTATCTCCATCACAGTCATCACGGTCCTCCCGTTGTTCATCGATTTGCTCGAGCGGGCCCAGTAACGTCTCCATCATGAGACTTGTTACTGTGTTTGGCATATCGAGTACGTCATGGGGAGCTTGCCAGGCTCTGCCGTGCGGGCCAGATACTCTCGGTAGCTTGCCGGGCTCTCCGAGAGGGGCGGAGGAATGGAACTCGGGTCGGCCATGTTGGCTGCGTGCAAGGCAAACGCCTTTCCGCTGTGCTATTGCTCCAGCCCGCTTATCTCCATGGCCCAAGAAATTTCTTCTTGAGGAAAATAAGCTGGCACAGCTCAGTGTGCTATAGCTGAAGAAGACAAGGTGCAGGGGCATCTTAATTTTCAAAGCAATGTTTTTGGTAACACATGGGATTTTTATTAGGGAGCTATTGACACTCTGTCAAAATCATCACTATGCTTACATTTTTCTACTATCTTCCTTAGACGTCTCTTAATTCAACACAATACATCCACTATATACAGCTAGCTTTCATAGGACGAGAACTTAGAATTATTGTGTTTAAGATAGCATTATCATGTAGCTCCAGTGAAAGGTGGGGAGTAGCTGCAAATATTTGTGTGGTTAGGGAATTAAAAAAAAGAGATAGGAAAATTCAAGGATTTTTGGTTGGCAGGGATAATTCTGGTAAACTAAAAAAAAAGTCAAAGGAAGTGGAAGACTATTGATATTTGATACTTGCGGTCTTGTTGGCTAGTTTCCAGGGGCAAGAATTACTGGAAATCAAAGTCAGAAGATGAAGAGGGTCTCAGGCGACTACTCTGCCATCCACTTACCCTTCCCTAAACCAGGGCTGCTCTGAAGAGCCTTGGGCTCCAGGTGCAGACTTCATGAGAGTTCTAGCTCTACACTTTGGGGGTCCCAGTGGGGTTTTGGCTACAACAAAATATTTGAAATTGCTTTAAAACTTTGAAGTACTGTATAAGTTTCCACTAAGAGCAAATCTCAAAAGGATGGGTAGAATTTGAGAATGTACTGGAAAGTCTTCTCTACACTGCAAAGTGCTGCCCATGCTTAAGGCTGATATTTGGGTGATGGAGTCAACATCTACATTGTGTCCTTCTAAAAGAAGACCTTAATTCTGACCTGCTATAAAGTCTCACCTGGGTGTTAAAATCAGCTCATCTTAGAAACTATGTCTCACAGGGAAAGAAACCCAGGACTGGGATTCTAGAGATTGGGGCTTTGGGAATTGTCTGTACCTTCAAGAAAGTCTCTGAACTTTGATCAGGGCATGGCTGTTGACATGTTAACAGGTGCCTGCCTTAAGGGAATGGACCTTCAGATGATCTTTTGCCTTCTCTAAGGGTTGAGAACCCCACTGGTGTTGGATACAGTGGCCCCAAGACTCCCAAATCTCTAGGAAATGCTTAAGAAGAGAAGGCAGTGACCTGCAGGCAAGGAGCGTCCATCGGGGAAGGTAATGGGCTTGCTGAGTTCTCTGGAAACAGACGGGACTGGAGGGGCCAGTCGGAGACTCTCCTGGATACACATTGTGGTGTACGACAGCTCACTCAGCTGGTCCCTGTGAGGACAAGGGAGGGCCAGAGGGAACTCAGTCTTCAAAGCAGTTCAGAAGGATGATGTTTATCTTTTCCTATTTGATGTTTATTCCTGGTACATCTCATCCTCAGGTTAAGCTCTTTTGCCTGTTGATTTCCATGAGAGAATGTTAATGGGTCTCTCTAGACCGCCTGAGGCCCAGAGGAAGAAGAACCAAAGAGTTTACAATGTCCTCATTATGAAGTGAGGGGCTAAACCAGGAAGCACCTTTGGCTAAGGATTCACTAAGGAGGGTTTTGAAAATCACTTTTGCAATCTTGAGTCCATGATATAAATCAAGAATATGTAAAGAAAGGATAGGATGGAAGAGGGGAGGCTTAAGACTTTGGGGAGGAGAAAAATAATCCTCTAAAGAGATTTGCTGGAATGCCAGAGTGCCAGGGAGAATGGGGGTATTTGCCTTCATCTTAAGCTAAGAAGGGCTTCAAGAGGTCCACTTAGACCACCTGGCATGGACCCTATAGATTTTGTGGAGCACAGGACTATGAGAAAAGACTCAGGTCTTACAGAGAGCAGAGGAGAAGAGCAGGGCTGAGCCAAGAATGTGCAGCATGTCATCAGGGCCAGGAAGCAGTGGGAGGCAAGCTCCTGAGACTGTTTGAAAGACCCCGACCCAGGCATCACCACTGCAAAGTTCCTAGAGGGAATCACCAAGAAACCCAGGATACACTCATGGACACTGACTGGCCAGGCAGTTTGCACAGTCAGATCACAAGCCTCTTTCTTCTCATCCTCTCTTCCTCTCAGGACCTTTTCTGGAAGAGCCAGACACTGCAGTGAGGAGGAGCTATTGAGTAAGAAGACACCAGCCCTTGACTCTTCCCTTTCCCCTCTGCTGGTTTCCAACCCAGAGAAATATTGTGCCCAAAGGAAAGGACACACTCCAAATGAGTAAATAGTGTGTGTGTGTGTGTGTGTGTGTGTGTGTGTGTGTGTGTGTGTACATGCGCATGTGCTTGTGTGCTTGCTTGCTCAGGAGTGCTACTTCCTGGCAGTGTTTGGGGTGGGGGACTATGAGGGGTGCTGGGGATTTAACCAGGGTCACTGTATGCAAGGCAAATGTCATATCCTCTATACTATCTTTGGCGCTGGAACTGATGATTTTAATACTATGCTGAATTAGTTTAATTACTGAACTGAGACACTTCTTGTGTGAACACAAATGGAAACTCATGAGAATCATGCCAGATTTCACTGGAGAACTGAAAAGAATTTGTCCTCTGTGGCATGTGTGAAGCAGCTGCAGGAGTAGGGAGGGAGAGTTAAGAGGTATGTATTTGTATTTTTGCTCGTCAGTTTGGATCAATAAATGGTTGCATATATTTCATCTTGATTCTATTTGCTCCTCTAATCAATTAGTTTTGAATTCAGGTTTTGGCCATTTGGTGGTGTGACATTTTGATTCTGATTTCTTTCTTCTTTGAGCCAGAAAATAGGGAACAATTCAGTTTATCCGGACCCTTTGCTTATTTAAGAAAAAGAAGAGAGGGGTTTTTACCCCATGGAAAAAATAGACTGCGAGACGCTAATGGAGAAGGCATACATATCAGTTGATGGAAATGTAAGGCCATTTGATAACATATGTATATATTATCATATATATTAGTATAGAAACCGGTTTTATTCTCTGTGGCATTGTTGCTGTCTCACTCATTTCCCCCACTCCCAACAATTAATGGACTTATTAATTAACTTAGGACTTTGTTCTCTCTCTCTCTGTCTCTCTCTCAATCTCTCTTGGGGGGTGGCAACTTAGATGTGCTCACGGCTTACTCCAGGCTCTACACTCAGAAATCACTCCTGAAAGTGCTGTGGGGACCGTATGGGGTTGCTGGGGATTAAACAGAAATTGGTTGTGTACAGGACAAACACCCTACCCACTGTACTAGCACTCTAGTTCCAGGATTTTGTTCTCTTATCTGATATTTTATGTAACATTTTCATATTTCACATTTACCAAATAAAGAAAGGAGAGAGCAAAGTTTGAGTTGCATGTTTATCTACCCCAATTAAGGTTAAAATATCAGTTAACCTGGGAGGTAGTAAGCAGTATTTCCAAATTAAATAAATTAATACAAAATGATTAATCAACTCTGAGTTTTGTACTAAATATTAGATTTTTAATTTTGGGGGGTCCTCCTCAAGTGATGCTTAGAAGATCCCGGGGCCCCACTGTCAATTCTCAGCCAACTGGGTTGGTGGTTCAAAGCAAGGTGCTGCCCATCCCATCCATGGTGTCGCAGATACCCAGGTCACACTAGAGATTCTCAGACCAATGCTTGGGGAGCTATGTGGTGCTGGGGAGGAACCCTACCATGTGTCTTAACTGCTATACTACTTCCAGTGCCTAGACCTTTAATTTATCAGAGGAAATAACACATTTTTTAATAAAAAGTGAGATCACTCATGTACCTACGTAGATCCAAATTTTCCTTTACAAATGTTCTGAGACGACCTTTCTATTTGAGAAATTGTCTTTCCTCCTATAGGACTGGGTTACATTCTATCTTTCAATCCCTTGGACCTGCAAAGTAATGATACATGGAATATCCTGTTAAGGTGAAGTGTGGCTAATGTCAAAGAAGTTTGCAAAATGCATGTCCAAGGGACAACTCCATAATCTGGGCTTCATAAACAGCAAGAGATACTCAGAGCTAACAAAATGGAGTTGAAACTTTCCACTTGGCAAACTCCTACTCACTTTATATGAGGTGGTTAAAGTGTCAAAGGAGGGCCCTGTGAGTCCCCCTACCAGGCTGGGAGTCTGTCACCCAAGTCTGCATTGGCTACATGTCTCACCACCCTTACTGCTACTGCCAAAGCGTCCATCTCTTGTACTAGAGCTAACGCATGTAAGGCACACATGGCCACACCCAATCTTGGTGTTTAACTGCCTCAGTCCTAAAATTGTCCTCAGTCTACAGTTGCTTAATTCAGCAACAGACTCTTATTTAGTGCTATGTTCAAAGTCCAAAGTCAATTCTGAGAAATGAAATTAGTAACTATTCACAAAAGTCTCTTAGATTTATGATTTACTCATTCGATTGCTCAAAGGAGAGTCCCACTTATGCCTATCATTCAAGCCCTGCAAGCAAGTCTAAGCATCAAGCTCCCACCTTCCAGACATTAGAACCTGATTGAAGAAACAACTAGGAGATGTATCACTGATTAGAAGCTAGATGGAGCAAGGAACTAATGGATGAATAAGGTTCTTTTCAAAAGAAAGGAGATAATTTTAGGCTTGCTAGAAAAGACAGAATGTTGCCTCTCCCACATACGCACTTCTTGAAGCATTATGGTTCAGATACCAGGAGAGAGAAAAAAAATCACAGGAGAACCACGATGAAATGTTTAGGGATGCAGGTCTCACCAGGTGATGGAAGACCCGTTCCCCAGGACGATCCTGATTTCTTCTCGGCATCTCTCCTGGTGCTCAGGATTCAGAGCCAGGTGGTAGAGGAGCAAAGAGATGCCCCCTACTGTGGTGTCATGCCCTGCCAGTAAAAACGTGTTCACTTCAGACAGCAGGTCAGCATCTGGAAAGCTTTCGACGTTCTCAGCCTAGGAAGTACAGCAGAGGTAGTTAATGTCAGTTTGCAGATTTTTGGAGGCCCCAGCTAAAATGGTTTTAGGAAAAATATTTAAGAAAAAATAATATTTTTTCGCTTTTTGGGTCACACCCGGCGATTCACAGGGGTCACTCCTGGCCCATGCACTCAGGAATTACTCCTGGCATACGGGAGGCTGGGAATCGAACCTGGGTTCGCCGCATGCAAGGCAAACACCCTACCTGCTGTGCCAGCCCCGAAAAAATGATCTTTAAGACAATCACATTATTAGATTAGCAGAAAATTTAGTTTTACCTCTCTTTGATGAGTTTGCAGGTTTACCTCAAGTTATGTGAAGACAACCCATAAATAGAAACATTATTGAATTGAGTTGATCAATTTTGCTTCAGTCTCCCCTCTTATCCACCACACACCCATACTTATACATGTTGAGACTCACAAATTAGAGTGATTTACCTGAGTGGAAAGGAGAATATCTAAGAAATCCTGGCATTTCCTCTTCTGAGTGTTATCCTGATTCTTCTCATCCTTAAGGAATTTCTTTCTATCCTGGAATACCTTTTCTGAGGTAGAATAATTCCCCATTATTAGAATGATAGCAAAGTCAAAACAAACTTTAGATCAAGCCAGGGCTTCAAATCTTGTCTAATTTCCTGAAGTTAGAATGGATAAAATATATTTAAATAAATTTAACTTTTGTTTATTTGGTTTTGGGCCACACCTGTCTGTGCTCAGAGTTTATCCCTGGCTCTGAACTCAGGGACCACTTGGGGATCCATATGGGTTTTTGAGGATCAAACCTGGGTTGGCTGTGTACAAGGCAGGTGTCCTACTCACTGTATTGTTTCTCCCCTAACTAAATTTAATTTTTTCAGAAATTTTAACTTATCATCACTTGACAATCTTTGCTTAAATCTCTAGACTAACACAACAGACTAAAAATATACATTAAATAACTTGAGAAGCAACACAATTAAGGTGTTTAAGAGCTAGGTAGAACTATAAATAGGCTTTTTCCCCCCTCAGTCTGTCTCATTTTCATGGAAAAGTTCACTGTCACTGTCACTGTCCTCCCGTTGTTCATTGATTTGTTCGAGCGGGCCCAGTAACGTCTCCATTGGAGACTTTGTTGTTACTGTGTCTGGCATATCGAATACGTCACGGGGAGCTTGCCAGGCTCTGCCGTGTGGGTGAGATACTCTCAGTAGCTTGCCGGGCTCTCCGAGAGGGGCGGAGGAATCGAACTCGGGTCGGCCATGTTGGCTGCGTGTAAGGCAAATGCCCTACTGCTGTGCTATGGAAAAGTTATCAAATGAAAAAGAGAGAACTTGAAAACAGATTAAGAAAGGTCATTGTCAATGGAACAGAGTTGAATATTCTGTCACAGACTCTTGAATATATGATCACTTAATCTTTGATAAAGAAGCAAGAAACGTGAAGTGGAACAAAGAAAACCTCATCAACAAGTGATGCTGGGAAAACTGAATAGCTACCTGCAAAAAAACAAACTCTGACTTCTGTCTAATGCCAGGCATAAAAGTCAGATCAAAGTGGATTAAAGACCTTAATATCAGACCTGAATCCATAAGGTACATGGAGGAAAATGTAGGCAGAACCCTCCATGACATTGAAGCCAAAAGCATCTGTAAGGATGAAACACCACTGACCAAGCAAGTGGAAAAAAACATAAACAAATGGGACTACACTAAACTAAGAAGTTTCTGCACCTCAAAAGAAACAGTGACCAAAATATAGAGAGAGCCTAAGGAATGGGAAAGAATATTTGCCCAATACCCATCTGATAGGGGGTTAATATCCAGGATATGCAAGACACTAGTAGAATTGTACAAGAAAAAAACCTCCAACCCCATCAAAAAATGGGAACAAGAAATGAGCAGAAGCTTCTTCAAAAAGAAATACATGACCAAAAGGCACAAGAAAAAATACTCTACATCACTAATCATCAGGGAGATGCAAATCAAAACAACAGTGAGACATCATATCACACTACAGAGACTGGCATACATCAAATAGAACAAGAACAACCAGTTCTGGTGCGGATTTGGGGAGAAAGGGACTCTCATTGTTGGTGGGAATGCCGACTGGTTCAACCTTTTTGGAAAACAATATGGATATTCCTTAAAAAGCTAGAAAATGAACTTCCATATGACCCTGCAATACCACTTCTGGGAATATATACCGAGAGTGCAAAAAAAGCACAGTAGAAATGACATCTGTACCTGCATGTTCCTTTCAGTGCCGTTTACAATAGCCAGAATCTGGAAACAAACTGAGTGCCTGAGAACAGATGACTGGTTAAAGAAACTTTGGTACATCTACACAGTGGAATACTATGCAGCTGTTAGGAAAGATGAAATCATGAAATTTGCTTTTAAGTGGATGGTCATGCAGAGTATCATGCTAAGTTGAAATGAGTCAGAAAGAGAGAGACAGACATAGAATGACTGTACTCATAATTTAAGACTGACATCCAAGGACAGTAGACACAAGGGCCAGGAATATTGCTCCATAATTGAAAGCCTGTCTCATGGGGTTGGGAAGAAAGCAGCTGGAATAGAGAAGGGATCACTAAGTCAATGATCGTTGGAGGGATTGTTTGGGATGGGAGATGTGTGCTGAAAGTAGATAAAGGACCAAACATGATAGCCTCTGTATCTATATTGCAAACCATAATACCCCAAGGTAGAAAGTATGGGGGAGATTGTCTGCCACAGAAACAGGGGGAGGCAGAGAATGGGGGTGTATACTGGGGACATTGGTGGTGAAAAATGTGCAATGGTGAAGGGATGGGTGTTCAATCGTTGTATGACTGAAACTGGAACATGAAAGCTTTGTAACTGTACCTCGCAGTGATTTAATTAAAAAAAAAAGACAAAAAACCCCCAAAACATGGAAAGAATATTTAAAACTGGAGTCCAAGAAAACTTTCTGGAAATAGGAAAAACTTTCATGTAAATAATAGCATATACTTCGCCTTAAAAAGTTGAAACAGACTAATTTTAATATAGATCTTATTCGGGCTGGAAGGATAGCACAGTGAGTAGGGTGTTTGCCTTGTACGCGGCCAACCCGGGTTTGATTCGCAGCATCCCATGTGGTTCCCTGAGCACCGCCAGGGGTAATTCCTGAGTGCATGAGCCAGGAGTAACCCCTGAGCATCGCTGGGTATGACCCAAAAAGCCAAAAAATGTATATATCTTATTAAATTTTATCAACGTTAAAGACAGAGAAAGAATTCCCCAGGGACTCTAGAGGAAAAGACCAAATGATTTTAAGGGTAGCAAAATTAGACTGGCACCTTATTTCTCAAGGACAATAAAGAAATCAAGGAAACTATAGAGCGTTTACAAGTAACTCAACTACTTCTGCACCTCAAAAGAAACAGTGACCAAAATACAAAGACAGTCTACAGAATGGGAAAGGATATTCGCTAATACACATCTGACAAGGGGTTAAAATCAAGGATATACAAGGTACTGGTTGAACTCCACAAGAAGAAAACATCCAACTCCATCAAAAAATGGGGTGATGAAATGAACAGAAACTTTCTCAAAGAAGAAATCTGAATGGCTAAAAGGCACATGAGAAAATGCTCTACATCATTAATCATCAGGGAGATACAGATCAAAACAACAATGAGATATCATTTCACACCACAGAGACTGGGCCACATTCAAAAGAACAAAAGCAACCAGTGCTGACGTGGATGTGGCGAGAAAGGGACCCTCCTTCACTGCTGGTGGGAATGCGGACTGGTTCAGCCCTTCGGAAAACAGTATGAACGATTCTCAAAAAATTAGAAATTGAGCTCCCATTTGACCCAGCAATACCACTCCTGGGAATATATCCCAGAGAGGCAAAAAAGTCTAGTCGAAGTGGCATCTGCACTTGTTTGTTCATTGCAGCACTCTTTACAATAACCAGAATCTGGAAAAAACCTGAGTGCCTAAGAACAGATGACTGGTTAAAGAAACTTTGGTATATTTACACAATAGAGTACTATGTAGCTGTTAGAAAAGAGGAAGTCATGAAATTTACATACAAGTGGTACTACATGGAAAGTGTTAAGCAAAATGAGTCAGAAAGAGAGGGATAGACATAGAAAGATTGCATTCATCTGGGGGACGTAAAGTAACAAATAGGAGACTAACACCCAAGAGTGGCCGAGGTTAGTATCAGAAATTTTGCTCCATGGCTTGGAGGCCAGCCACACATGCTAGGGGAAAAGGCAGCTCAGCTAGAGAAGGGAGCACCAAATAAAGGGTGTTGGGAGGATCCTCCCAGGATGGGAGAAGCATGCTGAAAGTAGACTATAGACCAAACATGATTGCCACTCAATGCCTCTTTTGCAAACCACAACACCCAAAAGGAGAGAGAGAACAAAAGGGAATACTCTGCCACAGAGGCAGGGTGGGGTGGGGGGGATGGGGGGTGGGAGGGATACTGGGATCCGTGGTGGTGGAAAATGGGCACTGGTGGAGGGATGGGCCTTTGATCATTGTATAATTGAAACCCAAGCACAAAAATTTGTAAGTCTACAACTGTACCTCATGGTGTTTCACTAATAAAAATTAAAAAAAAATAAAAGCAAAAAAAAAGTGACTCAACTAAACAACGTGTGATATATATGTATTTACATATATATATTATATAATACCCAGAAAATTTGTCTTTCAAGTTTTAATTCTAGTCTACTATGAAGCAGACAGTTATAAACATGTGGGAGTTCAGGAGATACGTTTGTGGTTGAGATTTATCCAATGAAGAGAATACTGGAAAAACATCATTAAAAGAAAGGAGGTGAGGGGCCAGAGCAATAGTACAGTGGGTAGGGCGTTTGCCTTGCACACGGCCAACCGGGTTTCAGTTCCTGGCATTCGATATGGTCCCCCCAGCAACCCAGGAGTAATTTCTGAGTGCAGAGCGAGGAGTAACCCCTGGGCATTGCTGGGTATGACTCAAAAATAAAAAAAAGTTAAAAAAAGAAAGGAGATGGATGTTTCATGGATTTACCTTTGCATCTTTGTTAAATAAGGACAAAGATAGGGACAGACAAAAAATGCAGAAACTTTATGTTTGTACATAAATGTATTATTGTACAAATAATGTTTGTTTTTCTGTGAAGTGAAGTGAAGTGAAGGGGCCATAGAGTTAAGTACAGCAGGCAGGGTGCTTGCTTGCCTTGCATATGGGTGGCCTGAGTTTGATCCCTGGCATCCCATATTATCCTGTGGGTGATCCCTGAGAGCAGAACAAAGAGTAAATCCTGAGCACCTCTGAGTGTGAGTTCCCTTACTCTTCCCCCACAAAAAAATTAAAAGTTAAATAAGTGCAACTAAAAATTGGTGGGGTAGGGAGGGAGAAAGGAAAAGATTTAGAATAAGTCACTAGCAGTTACTTCCAGTCCCACACTCTTTGGTAAACTGAGTTTTGTAATTCAAGGCCAAATGTTTCATTTTCACTTGGGTCTATCTGTTCTCTTGTTTTGTTTTTCTATCAACCAAAGATAAATGAGATTACCTGGTATTTGTTCTTTCTCTAATTTATTTCACTTAACTTGAAGTATAAATACCATACCATAGGTTTCAAAAAACCCTTAAATTAATTTTAACCTGCATATTGTTTTGTTTTACTTTGATTTTGGAGCCATACCTTTCAGGGCTTACTCCTGGCTCTGCTCTCAGGGATCAGTCCTGGCAGTGCTCAGGGGACCATAGGGATTCCAGGGATTGAACCTGGATCTGGTTGGTCTCATGCTTGGTAATCTCTCTGGCCTCTGTCAACTTATATGTTTCATAAAATGATTTTTAAACTGAGTTTCTTTTACTTTTTTAAAAATTGTGTTAAGAGTGCTTAACCTAGAGGTGGGTGACAACCTAGAGGTGAGGGTCTTGCATGTTTGGTGGTGATAAGGTTCAGCCCCCGGGAAATACCTGTATACTGATGCAGCACGGTGCTTATCTCCTGTAAGCCATGACCCTCCGGGCTGAATTTGAAAATTATGTCAGGGTGAGGTAAGAAACTATACAAAGGGTAAAAGATGATTTTGCTGGCTTCAAATGTGGCGTTTACATAAGGATCTTGGGTGCTAGAAAAAAAAAGGGAGGATACTATGTCAATAATTGATTTAGATAAAGGGAAACAAGTCTATTTTCTGTCTTCCCTCCGCCTGCTGACCTATTTATCTGGCAGTTGGTCTCCTGACTGAAAGCACATTTCATGAGAATGTCCAGAGTCATCAGGCTGATGTGCTCGAAGACTTCCACAGTTGTGTTCGGAGTGCTGCACATTTTCTCCCACTTACCCTGGATCAGAAGATCAAGATAAAAAGTATCACCATCATTAGCTGCCTTCATCTGAAAATGACTCAGTCCTGACCTGACCTGGCAGAGGTCAGAGAACTCACTCATAACTAAGCCAAGTGCTTCTTTGGTTTGAAGGATGGACAGATGCACCAAGCTGGGTGAGAAAGAGCACACTGGGTGCCTGGCAAGGTGCTTAGTGAAGTAGCTTAGGCCTTCTACCTCTGCCTTTATTTCTGCCTCTGCCTCTCCCTCCCCCACCAACACCCCTCACAGACCTATCTCGCCCCCTACCTCCTCACGTTTCCTAAAGCAAACTATTTTGCTCCATTATTCTCCTCCTGGAATTCTGTTCTACAAGTGTAGATGATGAATCTGAGAATTCTGTGTGCCAGTTGGGACTAATTCTTATTTGCAAAAGGCATGTAGGGAGCTGAAGATTTGTGGAAAAGACATTTCGAATAGGAATTTTAAGAATGGTAAACCTAATATTGTAATCGATTTATTTAATCTGGTTATTTCTGTATAAGGACAATTTTTAAGACAATTTTGTTTGCCTTTTACCAAGTTTCCTTGTCAATTGCTTGGTGACACTCTCCTCAAATCTTTGACCATAGGCATTTTTTTAGCTTTGATTTCAATTTCTTTTTTGATTTCTATTTAGGCCCCATAACTAATAATACTGTTAATAATAGAATTTCAGGCAACAATGTTCCAACACCACACTCAGAGCCAAAATTTCAATACCCCTCCAAGGAATGTGTCTCAAGGTTCTTTCCCATCCTCCCATCCCATCCTTCTGGCAGACTCAGTTCTATAAGCGGACTCTTAGATTTTTGTTCCAATTGACTGTTATTCCCTTTACTGTGCTTCTTTACATTTCATATATGAGAAATATCAGCCTATATTTGTCTCTCTTTCTCTCTCTGATTTTACCCAGCATGGTATTGTCTTTGTTCCATTCACATAGTGGGAAATTGTATGATTTAATTTCTTCTTATAGTTGAGTAGTATTTCATTATGTTTCTAAACCACTATTTCTTTATCCATTCAATTCTTCTTGGGTGTTGTTTCTGCAGCTTGGCTATTGAGAATAGTGCAAATGTCTTTTCAAAATAGTATTATTGGCCTCTTGGCATAGATACCAAGAAGTGGAATCAATGGGTCATTTGGAAGCCCAGTTCTTATTTCTTTGAGATGTCTCCATGCTGTTTTCCATAGAGACTGAATTAGATATTCCCTTCAGTGGTGGATGAAGGTTCTTTTCCCCCACATATTCACCAGAACCTGTTTTTTTAATCCTTTTTTTTGATGTGTAACAACCTCACTGTTGTGAAGCTATGTTTTATTGTTGTATTTCCCTGATAAGTGATGAAGAACATTTTTCACATAGCTTTTGGACATCTGTATGTCTTCATTGAAAAAAATATCTGCTTAGTTCTCTCCATTCTTTTATTTTTGTTTTTGGTCCACACCTGGTGATGCACACCAGGGGTTACTTCTGGCTCTGTGCTCATAAACTACTCCTGATAGACTTGGGGGACAATATGGAATTCTGGGATGAAACCTAGGTGGGCCACATGCAAGGAAAATGTCCTACCTGCTCCTGCCCTAATCTCTCCACTTTTTGATGACGCTTTTTGTTTGTTGTTAAGTTTTGTGAGTGAATAATGTGTTCTATTTCCTCTCTAGTCTTTATTATTTTTCTTTTATTGGGGAGGTGGGCCACACCCAGCAATGCTCAGGCATTACTCCTGGTTTTGACTTAGGAATGTACTATCTCTGTACTATCTCTCCAGTCCGATTTCTTATTATTTTTAGTAGTTTTCTTTGTATGTCTCTCACCTCCTTTATTAACTTGTTTCCCAGGTACTTAATTATTGGGGTACAATTGTTAATGGAAAAAAAGAATTTCTTTCTTCTTCATTGTATGCCTATAGAAATGCTGTAGATTTCTGCATGTTGATTTTATAGTCTTTCATTTAATTTGGTACAGTTTTATTGTTTCAAGGAGTTTTGAGGGAAGTCTTTATAAAGGGTTTCCTAAGTATAAAATCTTGTAATCTACAAATTGTGAAAGTTTCACTTTTTTTTCAGTCTGGATCCTTTTAATATTTTTTTCTTGCCTAATTGCTGTGGCAAAGACTTCCCATACTATGTTGAATATTAAAGGTGAGAATGAAAATCCTTGTCATGTGCATGATCTTAGAGGAAAGTTTTCACTATTGAGTATTATGTTACTTGTGGGTTTATGGTAACTAAGTTTCACTATACTGAGGAAACTTTTCCTTCTCTTTCCATTTTATTGAGAGAGCTTAAAAAAAGTTTCTTTGTCAGACTGGAGCATTAGCACAGCAGGTAGGGTGTTTGCCTTGCATGTGGCCAACCTGAGTTCGATCCCCAGCATCCCATATGGTCCCCCAAGCACTGCCAGGAGTAATTCCTGAGTGCAGAGCCAGGAGTAACTTCTGAGCATCTCTGTGTGTGACCCAAAAAGCAAAACAACAACAACAAAAAGTTTCTTTGAGCACACTCAACTGTGCTCAGGGATTATTTCTCTCTCTGTGCTTAAGGAATCACTCCTGGTGGGGGTTGGGGGACTATATTGGGTACTGGCGATGGGACCAGAGTCAGCCTCAAGCAAGGCAAATACCTTGCCTTCCATACTATCTCTCTTGCCCCTTGAGAGAAGGTTTTTTTTTTTACCCATCATGAACAAGTGTGGATTTTGTCAAATGCTTTTTGTGCATCTATTGATATCATATAATTTTATCTTTCCTTGTGTTGATATGGTTTATATGCTGATGGATTTTCATAAACTAAAATAACATATCCCTGGGATAAATTCCAGTTAATTATAGTGCATTATCCTTTTTAATGAATTGATGGATTTATTTCTCTAAGATTTTGTTGAGAATCTTTGTATATATATTCATCAGGGATATTGTTTCTAATTTTTTAATGATATTGCTATCTGTAGGGTAAATTAAAACTGTAGAATTCTTGTTTCTTTAACTTTCTGGAAGAGTCTGAGAAGGATAGAAAGTACCTTTTTTTTTGAAAGTTGGAAGGAATCGGTAGTAAACCTATTTGGACCCAGGGTTTTGTTTCTGGGGAGATTTTGATAGCCATTTAGGTTTCCTCAATATAAATTGGTTTATTCAGGTGTTAGGTTTTCTCCTGAATCAGTCAATTATGCCCACCTTTTCAATTTCTTTCTTCAAAACCATTGTCTTCATATTGGTTTTTAGCCTGGTTGATATATCTAGTGGTGAGAGAGAAGTGCTAAAAATTTCCTGCTACTATTGTGTTGCTATTTATATTCTCTGTCAAGTCTATAAGTAATTGCTTTATAAATTTAGGTGTTCATTATGGCTTGCAATACAGATATTGAAAGGATATAATGCATATCCCTTTACCTACTTTCAACACCCAATTCTTGTCCAGAGTGATCATTTCTAACTATTATTGTCATACTTGTCCCTTTTCTGTCATAACTATCCTTTGTTCCCCACACCCATGTGGAAAACTTTCAACCATTGACCAATCCTCCTGACCCCTGATTTTCTTGGCTGTAGATATTAGTCTCACACTATTTTTTTTCATATTGCACTTTTAAGGAATGTTCGTATTGTTCTCCAAAAAGGCTGTACCAGTCGGTATTCCCACCAACAATGAATGGAGTACCTTTCTTCTCACATCCATGCCAGTACTGGTTGTTATTGTTCTCTTGGATGTGTGCCAGTCTCTGTAGTGTGAGATGATATCTCATTTTTATTTGCATCTCCCTGATGATTAATGATGCATACCATTTTTATGTCCCTTTTGGCCATTTGAATTCTTCTTTGAGGAAGTTTCTGTTCATTTCTTCTCCCCATATTTTTAAGGATTTGGATTTTTCTTGTAAAGTTCTACTAGTGCCTTATATATCTTTGATATTAATACCTTATCAGATGGGTATTGGGTAAATAATTTTCCCCATTCTGTGGGCTTGTTCACCATTTCTTTTGAGGTGCATAATCCCAAAAGGGTGTGGTGGTGGATGTGGTGGTGGTGGTGGTGGTGGTGTGTGTGTGTGTGTGTGTGTGTGTGTGTGAGAGAGAGAGAGAGAGAGAGAGAGAGAGAGAGAGAGAGAGAGAGAGAGAGAGAGAGAGGGAGAGAGAAACAGAGGTCAGAGACAGAGACAGAGACAGAGAGAAATGTTTGCCATAGTGGTGGAGGGAGTTGTGGGAGAGAAACTGGGGACATTGGTGGTGGGAAATGTACACTGGCGAAGTTATGGATGTTGGAGAATTATATAACTGAAACCCAGTCTGGACTTCTTTGTAACTGTGTGTCTTACTGTGATTCAATTAAAAAAATAAAAAAATGTTTAGGTAGATCTACCTTAGTGCATATACATTTATGAGTGTAAAGATTTTTGATCTATAGGCCTCTTGATCATTAAGTATTGACCCTTACACACTTTTAAATTTGAAGTCTCTGTTCTCTAATATAAATATGACTGTTACAGTATTTTTCAAGTGATTATTTTGCATTGTAAGATTGTTTTCTGTCTTTTATTTTGAACCTGTGTTTATGATGACTGTTCAGTTGTGTTTCTTGTAGGTGGCAGGAAGTTGAGTTCAGTTTTCTGACCCAAGCTACCTTCTTCCTCTTGATTGGTGGGTTCAAGACATTGACATTACCATCATTTTGTAGAAGTTATAAATATTTGTGATTTTTGTCTTGTTTTTAAAGAAGAAAATTTAATGATCCTTGCAAACCTGGTTTTACAGATGTAAATTTCTTAAGGTAAAGGTAAAGGCCCTCCCGTTGATCGTCGATTTGCTCGAGTGGGCCCAGTAACATCTCCATTGGAGACTTTGTTGTTACTGTGTCTGGCATATCGAATACTCGGTAGCTTGCCGGGCTCTCCGAGAGGGGCGGAGGAATCGAACTCGGGCGTTCGCCTTACACGCGGCCAACATGGCCGACCCGAGTTCGATTCCTCCGCCCCTCTCGGAGAGCCCGGCAAGCTACCGAGCATATTGGATATGCCAGACACAGTAACAAATTTCTTAAGCTGTTGTTTGTCCATAAATCTTTGTGTCATTCCTTCAAATTGGAATGACCTCTAGCTCCATAGAACATGCTTGTTGGAATATTTATTTCATTCAGCTTGTTTACTATATCCACAGGCAGTTTTAAAAAGTCTTTTTTTGACTTACAGTCAATAAATCCATCAATTTTCCTTCAAGAGAGGTTAAACAATGGGCCCTCAAGTGCTTCTCTGAGGTTATTTGCATAGTACACAGAATGGCATGGAAAAGTAACCTGAGATCAGTCCCTTTTCTCACTCCCACATCGGTAAAATGGGTCTATTACATTAATGCATAAATGTTAACAGATGAAGACCTGATTCTGCTTTAGCACACTCTTAGACTTTTCTGGAGCATCTGTGTAAAATAAAGAAATAGGCTGTGAATGCAGAAAGATTTCAAGATACAGGAATTTCAAGATAAAGTTAGGGAGTAATTTGGGTGGGAAAATGCTCATTGTCTCAAGAGTTATGTTTGATAAGGTATAAGTTAATCCAGCCTGTAAGAATGTTAAGAAAAAGCCAGATTTTGTAGGGATTTTTGAAATATGTTGGTTTTTTTCTGGAACCACACCTGGTGTTGATTAGGGATTATCCCTGGCTTTAAGTTCAAGGGTCCTGGCAGACTGGGGGTACCATATATGGTGTCAGGGTTTGAATTGGCCTGGCAAGGCAACTGTACTACCACTATGACCCCTGGAATATGCACTTTTAAAAGCTACCATCTAGCTTAGAACCTCTGTCCTTATTGCCATCTGGTCAAAAAAGGCATATGTGGAACAGATATGAGAGCAGCAAACCACCTTGGAGAAAGCAAACACACTAGCGAAGGAGATGGAAACTCTGGACATCTCCCCAGTGAGCTGCCATTTGAGTGAGATCTTTCTGTGACTGGAAGGTATGGATCAGACACTGGCAGAGACAACATAAGGGGATAATACTGTAATGCTCCTCAGACTTGGGGCTCAGGTGTGTGAGTGAACAGAAACACCCTATAATCTGAAGGAGAAATAGTTTCTGGAACTACTGCTCTCCTAGAGGGATTTTCCCGGAAGGAACAAGTTGTTTTTCTGTATATGACCAGACAGGCTCTCTTTTCACACCCAGAAGGCCTTACTCATTTCACTGAATAAGCCTTCAATGAGGGCCAGAAAATCCTAGTAATTACTGAAAACCGAAATGTCTCTAAGGAGAAAAACTATTTTCCTAAAGAAGATGGGCATTGGGAATACTTTATTACTGCAAGGATGTGCCTGGGCCATTATTTGAATAGAAAATCGTGTTTACACAGAATGGGTCTGTTAAAATATTATCTTTGTTAAATCACACGAAGACTCGAGTGAAAGATCCCAGTAATCTTCCAGCCAGGGGGTTGTAAGTCCAAGTTCAGATCATGAGACATTTTCCGTGAAAGATGTCACTTTTTTTGAGGAATCTTTCTCTCAACCTGTCTTTTCTCTTGCAGGTACCTGTATCATAGCTGTGGTATCAGCCTCAGTGCGTACAGGCAGCCACAAAATGATCCATTTCTGGGCTAGAGAATCCCTTTGCTGATAGCTTAGGATGTGCTGCAGAAGAGGGAAGCATGGGGGATCATAAGAGACAGCCATGAGGGGTAGGATATTGGGAAGGCAATCAAAGACTATGACAATCTGTTTCACGAATTCGCAGAATTTCAGCAGAGGCATCTCACCACCTTCCCTTTGAATGTGTGGGCCCAGAAGCTGCACCAAAGACACAGTTTTGAGAGAATGTGACATGTGTCCTGTGCTGTTGAGTCCAGTTAGTCTTTCTAAGTAAGACTTTAACACTTCTCAGGGAGTTAGGGGGTATGTGTGTGAAGAATTCATCTTGTGACTACAAAACAAAGAGAAGAAAAGTGCCTGCCACAGAGGCAGAGGATGTAGGGGTGGGAGGGAAACTGGTGACATTGGTGGTGGAAAATGTACACCGGTGAAGGGATGGGTATTGGGACATTATATGACTGAAACCCAATCATGAACAACTTTGTAACTGTGTATCTCACAGTGATCCTATTAAAAACTTAATTAATTTTTAAAAGCCTTATAAATTCTTTGCTCATTTAAACTGATACTACCTCTCTTGGGTGGTTTTTTCTGTGTTTTCTCTTTGCCCTCTGGTGAAAGTTTAGTTTCTGCTCACACCTGGAAAGAACCTGGTCTGTGCCTCAACTATGACCATTAGGCAAGTCCATTCAACATCTCAGATATTTGCTCATGCTAACTCACTCTGCTTAGAATTCCTAGAAACGTATTGGTCACATATTCAAGTTCAACTCAAATGCCATGGTAAATGACAGTTTTCTCTGAATCTGAAACTGTCAGCTATTTCTGGTTTTCTTACTAACCACCATCTGATCTTTCCACTTGAAACCTGTGTGCTGATGTTTGACCTCAAAATATATCTTAGGCAGAGAACCAGATCTTCATCTTTTGGGTGGGAGGTATTGGAAGATATTGGGTTACACTATGCTCTGGGCATACTCTTGGCAGAGTTCGGGAATCACATGGGGTGCTGGAAGCCAAATCTAGGTTTGGCGCATACAAAAGAAGAAAGGATTTAAACAAATAATAAAAAGGACCTCCATACTTTTTATTTTCTTTTAAAAAAACCACCCAAAGAACCATAGTAAAATTATACAGAGATACCTATTTACATACTTTCCAGAAATCACCTAGTGTTGAATCTTACAATCCACTAAATGTATCATACATTCCCTACTAGAAGTATTTAATTTTTTCATGTGTGGTTCCAAGTTTCAAACTCAGGTCTCCAGCATGCAAGGCAAGAAGCCACCTCTAAATCACCTGCCACTGACCCACCTCCTTAGTCCTTCTTGCCAGAAGTATTTTACAATAAACAAGAGTCTTATGCCTTTCTTACCAGCATTGTGTTCGTAGAATGAACCATCACCTCCACATAAGACTTCAAGATGTTCAAATCAAATGCAGGAGTTAGTAGGCAACGGTGCTGGAACCACTTAGGTCCATTGAGACTCACCAGTCCTTTTCCTTGAGAAATAAAGTTAGAAAACTTCATGCAATTTCGTTAGATGAGAGGAGAAAGGAGAAGCAAGGAACACAGAACGCTGAGTGACAGGGACACACCAGCAGCTATAAAAGTCTGTAGACCATCAAAGTAGTGCTCAGAAATCAAATGGGAAGTGAGTTTTGATGCTTAAATATGATCTACATTGTGAGAAAGACCCTAAATTTTGAAACCTGATGAGTCTAAAGCTTTTTTTTCTCTTTTTTTGGGGTCACACCCGGTGATGCACAGAGGTTACTCCTGGCTCATGCACTCAGGAATTACTCCTAGTGGTGCTCGGGGGACCATATGGGATGCTGGGAATTGAACCCGGGTTGGCTGTGTGCAAGGTAAATGCCTTACTCACTATGCTATTGCTCCAGCCCCAAGTCTGAAGCTTTAAATGACCAGTTATGGCATGTGTAATGATCAAGTTAATAATTTAACCTTTATGAGAACTGGTTTTCTTGGTGATAAAATCTGATAAAAACACCCAGGGTGGGAGAGATAGTATAGAGGGCAGGGGGTTAGCCTTGCATGCAGCTCACCCGGGTTGGATTCCTGGCACCCCATATGGTCCCCTGAGTCTGCCAGGAGTGATTCCTGAGAACAGAGTCAAGAATAAGTCCTGAGAATCTCTGGGTGTGGCCCTTTCCTCACAAACCCAAATAAACAAATATCTATTTCACTATGTTGCTTTTCGCATAAAACAAAGTTACAGACATACAATGCCTAGCCTGGTCTCTAGCTATTATTAAGGTAAAGGTAAAGGTAAAGGCCCTCCCGTTGTTCATCCATTTGCTCGAGCGGGCCCAGTAACGTCTCTATTGGAGATTTTTTTTTTATTCACCTCCTCTTTGCTCCAATCTATAATATGGTGTGAACACAAACTTCATGTGTACCCACACAAGAACATCCACTCTATCCCTGGATCACTCTCCTCCTTGCCACTTACATATGATATAACATAGAAGCAATATTTTGTTACCAGGCAGATCATTATAGATTTAATATTAGAAGGACCTTGAAGTTTACTAATATGTAAGGTATTCATTTTTGTTTACAAGATAGGCTTATGAGACATGGTCTCTGCTGAAACAATGCCAGCAGTTAAAGTAAGTGCTGAAAATATAAATGAAATTAATTTGACTCTCAGAATAACCTTGAGATATAACTCTCATTCTCATTTTAATAAATGAAGAAATGGGACTTATAGAGATTTCATGGCCTCCCTACACCACACATTCAACTCTCCAGTGGGAGTCAGGATTGAAATGTAAGCATATTTGGATCCAAATCTCTTAATTTGAGTTTATCCTTGTCTAATTTAAAGACAATTAAATTACTAAAAGCCTGCATTTATATGTTCAGGAAATAACAACAAAATGTACTGCACTGTGGCACCGTCCTCCCCTTGTTCATCGATTTTTTTCTCTCACATTGTGATACTTGTTACTGTTTTGGGCATATTTTATACACCATGGTAGCTTGCCAGGCTCTGACATGCAGGCAGAATACTCTCGGCAGCTTGCCGGGCTCTCCGAGAGGGATGGAAGAATCGAACCCAGGTCGGCCGCATGCAAGGAAAATGCCCTACCCGCTGTACTATCACTCCAGCCCACCAAAATGTACTATGAAGTAATATTTTACATTTGGAAATAGAGAAGCTCCAAAAAGAAAAATAAGAGATACAAACAAAAAAAGAAAAAAGGATTTAAAGAATGTCAGTGGTGGGTGAACCTGCAAAAGTCATAGGTAGGACAGATTTACACATTCCTGCCTCGAAAATAAGACTTTGGGGAGAGAAATTGATGTGGAAGTTTTCTGGGAAGTTGGGCTCTGTGAGCCTCTAATTTGTGGTTTAGATCTTTCACACTCTGAACACTTTTGTTTGTTTGTTTGTTTGTTTTTTTGCCACACCTGGAGATGTTCAGGGGTTACTCCTGGCTCTGCACTTGGGAATTACTCCTCTCAGTGCTCAGGTGACCATATGGGATGCCAGGGATCAAACCTGGGTTGGCAACATGCAACGCAAGCTCCTTACTTGCCGTACTATTTCACTTGCCTTGAGAGCTTTTGAATTCTAATTTCAGTTTCTTTGGCATGCTCTACTATGAAAAGGGACTTCACATGGGAGAGTGGGTTACTATTGGCACATACATACCAAGACATGGCATCAAGAACTTGTAGAGGGACTTGGACTTGGGATCTGCAGAGAGTCAAGCAGAAGAAAAAAAAATGGTATTACATTGATGAAGGGTCTCTTCATTTGTTTGCACTAATCATAGATAAATAGCTAACGAGAGTTCTGAGCTCATTCCCTCCAGCTCTTGGTAGGCCCAGGAAAACCATGAGTTTCGGTTTAAGAACCAGAGAACAGCCATCCCCGCAAGGAGATTGGCACACAAATGCAGAATCCTCCCTGATTTTTACTTCCTCCAACTGAAATGAGGATTGCTCAAGGATCACAAAGTTTACAGAACAGTAGGTAGCAGAGATATTTTTGAAAGGCAAATTAACTATCAATTAGAATAGGGGCCAGCAGACACCAGAGAGTGAATTACAAATGTCTTGGGGTTAGGGGACATTTTTGTTGTTGTTGCTGTTGCCAGTCAGTTTTTTTTAAAGGCATACTAAGCAGTGTTCAGGGTTCTGGGGGCCACTCCTAGTGATATGCCAGAGCTGCTTGGAACCTGTGATGCTGGTAACATCAGGGTCACCCACAAGGTACCTAGAGCCTACACACAGAGGTGCTGGGGATAGGGTAGGGAGTGCCAGGGTTCCAACTTGGGTCTTGCAAAGCATGTACTCTTGACTGCTGAGCCATCTCCTTGATCTTATGGGGGAAGTTCTTGTGAATTCTAATATGGAGGTGCTTTGATCTGGAAAGGGAGAGCATGAGATGAATCAGAGCTGGGAAACATTAGGACTTGAACAAAAAAAGTTGTTTTTTTTTTTCTTTTTTTGGTGATGGGGGAGTTGAGCCATACTTGGCAGTGTCCAGGGACTATTCTGGCTCTTTGCTCAGGGGTCATTTTTGGTCGTACTCAGGAGATCATATGTGGAACCAGGGGTCAAACCACGGTTGGTTACATACAAACATGATTCTGAAAAGATTATTTTCTAACAAAAGGTTTTTACTAGAAACCTTTGGCAGAGGGGTGAAAGATTAGAACGTTAGATCTTAGGTTTGCAAAGTTCAGGGAACGCAAATGGATATTTCAATGGGTTGCAAGAGATAGTCAGCAGAAAATCTTGGGAAATGAATTGGATTGGGGGGCTATGTGGTGTGAGCATCAAAAGTGAAAAAGTGAACGCAGGAAAAAATATACACAAAACAAAAACCAAATTGGGACCACAGTCAAGAGGTTAGGTTGGTAGATCAGCCATCAAACCTTCAGGTTTACATACTGAGCCAGCAGAGGCTGAGCTCCTTTTTAATATCCGAGGACTTAAGCTCAACAAAGCAACTGGAGATGGCTATTATGGTCGATCCCGAAGTCATAAGATAGGTGAAAAAGCCCTGTTGATACGGGAGTGCCAATGATACACTGACCTAATGATCACAGGCTTAAAATCAAATAAGAATAGAAGTGAGAGTAGTCAAGAGTGGCATGAAACTGCTTCATACTCTTTCCATTGTCTCTTCAAGGCCTAATACTAATCTTTGCTTTAGAATTACTTAAAGCTTTTATGCACATCACTCTATGAGGATAATTAAGTTCTGAGACTTATCCCTTTGCTTACCTGTTCTGCTCAGAAATGTCTTTGCATAGTCTGGGTCATAGATATAGAAAAATGCCTGAAAGGGTCCAACCCAGCAAGGAAAGGCACAAGGATACGTTTCAACAAACTCCTCCAGTTTCTCCATTTTACCCTCTTGAAGTAACTGTAGAGGGGGAAAAAGTGTGATATTTGAATGAGGATAGACACAGTTCAGTGCAACAAATTGAGAATATAGAAAAAAACCCTTTATGCTAATAGTCAACTGATTTTGACAGAGGTCACTTGATCACTTGACATCCCATTACTCATTGATTTGCTGGAGTGGGTGCCACTAACATTTCCATTCATCCCTGTCGCATGCTAGTGTAGCCCAATGGTGTCTGCTCACTCCAGGAACAAGAAGAGCCTCAAACTGATTGTTCAGTGTCTTGACAAAGAAGTCCGACCATCTTGTAGGTGGGCGGCCACACAATCTTTTGATGTCCCGTGGAATCCAGTCGGTAAAGGCTGTAGTCCAGCAGTCGTCTCCAAATCTCATTACGTGTCCAGCCCATCTGATTTTTGACACATTGTCAAATGAGATAGTGTTCCTGATTCTCAATCGTTGATGGAGGTTGGAACTCTGCATTCTTTCTCTCACTTGAGTAAAGCATGATACTTCAAGCATAGGTCTTTCAATTCCTCTTTGGGAGACCCAAATAGCGTTCTCATCCTGTTTTCATAGGTCCCAGGTCTCTGAGGCATATGTTAATGCAGGAAGAACAGTGGAATCGAAGAGATGTGCCCAGAGCCAGAGGTTCTTCATCCTCTTAGCTATTTCTTTGATGCTCTTGAAGGTGTTCCAAGTCACTCTCTTCCTCCTGCGCAACTCAGGTGCCAGGTCATTTGTCATGTTGAACTCTCAACTATAAATGTTGCATTCGGAGATGTTCGTTCTATTGAGAGTGAATGGAACATCAGGAATGACACTGTTTCTCATAAACATTGTCTTGGTGAGATTCAGCTGAAGTCCAACCTTTTCAGACTCATGGTCAAAGTCAGCCAGCATTTGTGCTGCTTGGCTAATGTTTGGTGTTATTAGAATGATGTCGTCAGCAAAGTGGAGGTGGTGTAGTTGCCGGCTGTCTATCTTGACTCCCATTCCTTCCCATTCCAGTTGTTGCATGACGTTTTTGAGGGTGGCACTGAAGAGTTTTGGTGAAATGGTATCACCCTGCCGAACCCCTCTCCTAACATGAATGATCACTTCCTTGTAGAATGGTGAGATCCTGGTAGTGAATCCATAATACAGCTCACATAGGATCCTGATGTATTGAGTTTTAATGCCTTGTTTGGCTAGGGCTTTGATGACCACTTCAGTCTCAACAGAATCAAAGACTTTCTTTAAATCAATGAACGTTAGACAGAGCGGAAACATCAAAGAGCTTGGTTATCATGTGGACATGGTTGATCGTGCTGAATCCTTTTTGAAACCCGGCTTGCTCCCATGATTGTCCTTCATCTAGTGTTCTGCCAATCCTACTCAGGATGACTCAAGTGAATAGTTTGTAGACGATAGACAATAGGCAGGTTGGGCGATAGTTGCCAATGTTGTGGATGTCTCCCTTCTTGTACAGTAGAACAGTCCTGCTGATTTTCCACTGGGATGGAACCTTGCATTCATACAGGTAGCATGTGAAGAGCTGAGCCAGTATATTGATGAGTACTGATGGAAGGTTCTTCAGGTGTTCAGGTCTGATCTTGTCTGGGCCAGATGCTGTTCACTTCTTTACCAACAAAATGGCGTGTCGGATTTTGGAAGGGAGAACTTTGGGAATGTTCTCACTACCTCCACTACCCAGCCGCCACCAAGCTCCAGGCCACTTTCTGGACCATGACGTATAAGACATTCATACCCATATTTCAAGATTACAGCGCCATTTTTGATGGAATTCAAATATGGTTTGAACCATGGAAACACCTGCAAGGGCGATTAGAGGCCACCCTAAAAACCTCTATCCCTATCGGAGAGTCTGGCAAGCTACCAAGAGTATCACGCCTGCATGGCACAGCCTGGCAAGCTATCTGTAGCGTATTTGATATGCCAAAAACAGTAAATACAATGGGTGTCATTCTTCTGACCCTGAAAGAGCCACCAATATGGCAGAGTTAAGAAAGATGAGGAAGGAGAGGCTGATAAAATCTCAAGGCCAAACTAGGCTGCCGAAATGAAGAAGGACTAAAATGACTGTATTTTCAATGCACATATGCTGGCATTGGATGCATCCATCGAGGACCTGATGGTGCAAGCATGAAAGATCAAGTACGACATCACTGGTCTGACCGGGATGAGAAGGCATCAACCACATCACACCATTTTCGACACTGGAGAAGAACTGTTCCTTGGAACATGTGACAAAAGAGGCGTCGGTGGTGTCAGTGTCCTTGTCAACATGAACTTGGCTATACGCATTGATTCATTGGAAAGCCTAACAACTTGAATCGGATGATTACACTTGAAAAGATGTGGCTCACTGCTGGCAATTTCTATCTTTGTTGTCTACGCATCAACATCCAATTATGATGAAGGAGAAATTGAGAAGTTCTACATGGAGCTGGAGAAGTTCTATAAAGAAGACCATACCTTCTACAAGATCTTATCAGTGATTTTAATGACAAGATAGGACCTAGAAGATCAGCCAAAGAACTCCACATCGGGACCCATGGCCTAGACCTAGAATAAAACGAACAGGGTGAGAGACTGAGTTCATCATGTCGACCAAGACCATCCATGGTAACTCACAGTTCCAGAAGTCCGAATCTAAACGTTGGACATAGGAGTCTCCCGGTGGACGGTTCCACAATGAAATTGATCACATCATATTCAATTGATGGTTTTGCCTGGCTGATGTCGCCGTTGTCTTAAAATTATAAACGGGATCAGACCACCATCTCCTTCTTGCAAAATTCTACTTCACAGAGTGGGGAGAAAGGGCTTCAAAGTTTATGAAGAGAACTCCCGGAACGACCACCAACTGGGAGCTCTTTGGCATTATTGTGGCAACATGGGAAGATTCTGTCGTTGGCAACATTGATGAAGAATACAACTGACTGGTTCAACACATCCATGATTGTGCGAGGAATGCAGAGAGAGAGAGAGAGAGAGAGAGAGAGAGAGAGAGAGAGAGAGAGAGAGAGATAGCCACAAAAAGATGCCTATCTTCTCTTGGTGCAAGCCTCAGGCAACTGCACACAAACATCCGAGCTTGCAAAGCAGTGCAGAGAGGCGATAAAGGAGGACCTCAAAAAGAGAAGAGCAACAGTGCTGGCTGATGCGGCAGAAGCCAGGAAAAGCATTCACAACATTCACCTGTTCTTTGCCAACTACAAGACCAAGATAACTGCCCTCCGATGTCCTGATGGATTTATCACATCTTCCAGAAGGGCAATGGAGAAGATTATTCATGACTTTTACTCGGATCTCTTTGATAGCCACGTCCACCTGCCCACATACCAAATTCTGCAGGGTGGATATGTTGTTCCCAACATTCTCCCTTGACAGAGGTACCATGAGATTTTATATCTACCTAACTCCTGCTCTCTCTCTCCCTCTCTCTCTCTCTCCCACTCTATCTTGTAACATATGTTTTGACCTCAAATTCCTGGCACAGATCTTCGAAATTTCTTGTAACATTCTTTTCTTAAGTAATAGCACTGTAGTACTGTCCTCTCGTTGTTCATTGATTTGCTTGAGTGGGCACCAGTACCGCTTCATTTTGAAACTTATTGTTACTGTTTTTGTCATATCGAATATGCCATGGGAGCTTGCCAGGCTCTTTTGTGCGGGCGGGATATTTTTGGTAGCTTGCTGGACTCTCCAAGAGGGACTGAGGAATCAAACACGGATCAGCTTCATGCAAGGCAAATACTCTACCCGCTGTGCTATTGCTCCAGTTCCTAAGTGATAAGAGCACTAATAGCATGTTATGTTCTAATGTTGATATTTCATCCAGTTCCTAATACACAGACTTCTTGAAATATCAGAATTTACAAGTGATAGCAGTGTTTTTTGTTTTAGTAACTCCTGGTGAGTTCCTGAGTTATGCACGGATCACTAGAAAAACCAAGTCAGAAGAAAAGCTTAGCACTTTCAGTTCCACTTTCCTCCCCTTCCAGAGAGGGGTGAGGGACTGGAAAAGGACTTAATGAGCCACCTTGCCTGCATGATGAAGCTTTCATATGAGCATGTAAAGTATGAAGGTTGAACATAACTGGGGTTGCCAAGGTAACCCCAGCAACAGAGGTCATGAACAGCGCTGCATCCTTCTGCACTGCATTGAACCACTGACCCAGTTAGCCGGTGAGCATTGTTAGTTGATGAGCTTGAGACATAGGGGGCAGGGTGGGGCATGGGACTGGGAACAATAGTCATAAATTTGCCATACCTGGGTAAGGATTGAATATACAAATCCACAAGCTAACACAATGTCTAATGAGCTTATTCAAGATACATTACATTAAAAGTATCCACATTTGGAACCACCTCTGTCCCATGTAAACTAATTTATGGCCATGATCCAGAGACTCAAATAAATCTTGAAAGAGATCAACAACCTGCAGAAGACTCTTCCAGACACCCTCACAGGCTGAGATGTCTGGGGAACCTGGAGAGGTGTGAATCCACCCAGTTGCCACCTAAAGAAAGCTTCAGCAGCAGAAAACTCTCACAGTTTACAATCACCACCATGCCCCTGGCCAGAATCCACTGTCTCAGGAAAAGCTTCTCTCAGAAAGTAATCTGCTAAAAATTCATATATGTGGATTTTGTGACTGAAATGTCCAGGATTTCACTGAGTTGGGATGGGCTACCTCCCCCCATTACCCTGTATTCTGGAAGCCCTGGAAGCCATGCACAGACCCCAAAGCTTCCACTCAGTCAAAAATTTAACTCCAGCTGTACAACCTCATTAAGAATTCTGGACTTCCTGGAACTTCCTCAAACTTCCTCAAAATCTACAACACTGATAAACTAATAGTAGCACACCATATTGGATGGAATGTAAAGTAGAAGGCAAACAATCTCGATTAACAAAATATGAACACTTAACCTGTAACATCTTAGTAATCTCTCATACAAGAACTTTAGGGGTCCATGGTGAGATACAATAACTTTCACTAGCTTTC